TCACGTTTGCACAACTTGTGGAAGAAGTTATAAGAATAATAATCACTTGGTTCGTCACCTCAAGTACGAATGCGGAATGACGAAGGCGTTTCAATGTCCTTACTGCAACCAGGCCTCCAGACAACGCACCAACATATGGAAACACATCAAGTACAGTCATAGTCACTCTGTGCTTTACTGCATCGATACTAGCACAAACAGAAAGTTGTATCATCCATCGAGTCGTAAGATGTATTCATAACGGAGATGTTCAAGGGCTTGTGAACATGAGAGAGTGCATTTCCATTTCTTTATAAGAATAATGGAATAAAGTTGAGTTCTTTGAGTCGATGACGAGAATTGTCATTTCACTTTTTTGTTATTCTTGATTAAAATGAATTAATCTCCTTCCCAGCGGATAGAACTGGGAATTCGAGAGGACATATGAATCATTACAACTGCTGAATGTTTCAGATGGAATGACGGAGAAGAGGATATTTGGTGCTTTGCATTCTGATTCGTCAAATCGTCGTGGTTATGGAACGCGCGGAAAGAGCTGCAAGAGTCGAGCCTGACGGATTTAATTGTCCTTCTTATGTGGATACACATCAGGCGTAATCAGCCATTTCGGGCTTTAGTGCATCGATAACAGGACGAAGGAGAAATTGTATTATTTATTGAGCCGCAGGGGGCATCATGATCCTTTGTAGAATGAGTTTGAGAAAAAAAGTTTTTTCAGAAGTATGTCTTTACTTGTAAAAACTTTCGACAAGAGATTTTATCATTTCCTATGACGAGAACAATTTTTTTCGTGACTAAAAACGGATTTCTCAAAGCAAGTCTAGTTGAGTTATTTATTCAATAGTTTTTAGCTTCAGTTCCACAATATTTTAATGCAAAACCACTTGACTTGGTTTGAAAATTCCGTTTCTTCACCTGAATTGCCCTCATCTTTCAGACAAGTACAAAATTTCTTGACGAAAGTTTATTTTCTCAGTAAAAATTCTCCTCGACTTGATAATGAGTCCATCCATTTAATCTCCCACTTTCTCTCACTGCTAATCTAATTTGTTCACAGAAATGTGACTTGTGCAAGAAGAAATAAGTGAATGAATAAATATCTGTTGCATCGTGCTGACGGTACTGTTTTTTGGTGACTGGTTTGTGTGAACGTAGAGCATGTATTAATGAAATTATTCTGGTTAATTGTTTCAGGAGATTTGTGGGAGAATTGGGAATTTCTTGCAGCCCATCATCACAGTTTACTGTTGGATCAGGAGGCCATGAGTCGTCATCATTGCCTCCAGTGTGGCAGAAGTTACAAACGTAGAGATCACTTGAAACGTCATGCCAAGTACGAGTGTGGCAAGCCCAACAGATTTCGATGTCCCCATTGTAACCAGGATTACAGACAACGTGCCCAAGTGTGGCAGCACATCAGACATCTTCATGGGGATTCAGAGCTCTGTTGCATCGATAACGAGACTAATCAAATGTTTTATTATCTCAAGGCGAATAAGAGTGATTGAAGGACGCTTCTATTTTTCGATAGAAAATAATGAAATAAAAACAAGTTTCTTGCATTCATAAGAACAATGTTATCTTCTATTACTTCTTCTAATCTGTTTTCAGGAGACGACATTCTCGGACTTGTGAGAAGGAATCATGCATTAACATGACTCTTGTTGATTCTCATAAGGCAATGATGATTGAAGAAGTCCAAGCCCTGTTGCATTGATAACAAAACTAATCAAATCTTTTATCATCCGAAGACAAATGAGAATGATTGAAAAACGTTTCTATTTTTCGATAAAAAATAATGAAATAACGCCAAGTTTCTCGCACTAATAAGAACGAAATCATCTCCTATTACTTCTAATCTGTTTTCAGGGGACCATATTCTCAGACTTGTGAGAAGAAATGAGAATGAATAACTAACTGTTGTCCTGCCGGTGATAAATGGCGATCGGTTAATGTAAATGGAGACAATTCACATGGAGCATGTATTAACACACATCTTGTTGATTGTTACAGGTGAATCCTGGGAGAACTGGGAGTTTGTCCCAGTGGTATGTCCACCAGTGAACAATGAACCTAAAAATCGTTATCACTGTCTCCAATGCGGCAGAAGCTACAAACGTCGTGATAACTTGAATCGTCACGCCAAGTACGAGTGCGGAATGCCCAACAGATTTCGCTGTCCCCATTGCCAACAGGATTACCGACAACGGGCCCAAGTGTGGGCGCACATTAGAAATCTCCATAAAAATTCGGATCTATTTTGCGTCGACAATGAAACCGGCGAAATGCAATATTACACAGGAGGGCATAAGAATGAATGAGCAAAAAGTGTTTAAAATTGAATGAAAACGTGGAACATTGACGAGTTTTAACTTAACGATAATAATAAAAATAAATGATAGGTTTTCTCGAGTAGATGATAAGGATTAAGTCATTACACTTCCTATTTCTTCTTGAACCAAACTCTAGTTTACTCTGCGGGCATGATTTTAACTGTCTCCTCACTATTTATTTCTACGTAATGAAAATCATCGGCGTAATACGGTTTATTTAATTTTGTTTCAGGACTCTATATAGCCGATAAGGATCCACTGTACGGTGACAACGATAGAATCGGTGCATTTAAGTGTCCCAGCTGCGATAAAGTGTACAAATGGAGAAAATCAATGCTGGCGCATTTCAGACATCAGTGCAAAAAACCACCGAGATTCGAGTGTACACATTGTGAAGTTAAAAATTATCAGAAGGGACACATTATGAGGCATCTCATTGTTCATCATCCAGCATTGCCCCAAGTGTATTACGATGCTAAGACTAAGACGCGGGTCAATCTACGACCATTTGACCATCCTTTTTAATTAACATATCTGCTTGAGATTGAATAATGAAAAATCAGTGTTTCCAATTTTAAAATACTCAATAAAATATTAATTTTGGTATAATTGCTTGTTATGAGGTTGTTGACCTTGTCCCTCCACAGGTGCCACCAGACGAGAAAATACTTTACAAACATTTGTAATAAAGAGTTTACTCTTCAAAAATCTTGCGACGAAAAACCGTGCATTTATTTATTAACGAATATTTTTAAGAATGTTTCAGATCATTTGCAAATGCTCATTTCAGACATTGGTGGAGAAAAATCACTGAGGTTGGGGTGTACATATTGTGAAGTTGAAAATTATCAGAAGGGACACATTGTCCCAAGTGGAAACCCCGTGGTCATCCTTTGTAATTAACACATCCGTTTGAGATGGAATAATTAAAAATCAGTGTTCACCATTTTAAAATACTCAATAAAATATTAATCTGGTATAATTGTTTGCTATGAGGTTGTTAACCTTGCCCCTCCACAGGTGCCAGTAGAGGAGAAAATACTTTACAAATAGTTATTATAAAGACTTTCCTTTTCAAAAATCTCACGACAAAAAAAAACTCTTCAATTATTCACTAACCAATATTCTTAAGAATGCTTCAGATTATTTGCAAATGCCCTGTTTCAGGCATTAGTGCAAAAAACGATCGAGATTCGAGTGCACAAATTGTAAAGTTAAAAATGATCAAAACACATTATGAGGAATTTCATTAAATAAAATATCCGTTTGAGCTTGAATAATGAAAAATCAGTGTTTCCAATTTTTAAATAATAAAATCTTAACTTTGCTTTAATTATTTGATGTGAGGTATCGACCTTGTCCCTCCGCAGACGCCACTACAAGAGAAAATACTTTGCAAAAATTTGTAACAAACAGTATCGTCTTCAAAACTCCGACAAAAAATCCTTCAATTATTTATTAACAAATATCCCTAAAAATGTTTCAGATTATTCACGAGTGACCGACGTCAACCGAAGAACAAGAACCCAAAAAATTCCCCTGGAGGCGAAAAACTTCGTTTGCAACCGGTGCAATCGTCGATTCACAGCTAAACGCAGTTTAGTTCGTCACCAAAGATACGAATGTGGCCAGAAGCCGAAATTCGAATGTCCCTACTGTACATTTCGTAGTAAACACGCGTGGGATGGAACAAATCACGTTAAATATCGCCACCCAGATCGTCCACTCTACGTTCTGAAAAATCAATAGATCACAATCGCTTTCCAATTTTCTCGAAGAAAAAAAGAACAATCAATGTCTTCGTGTATGTAAACGCTTCAACGTCAAATAAATCAATTCTCCTCTCTCGAAATCATCAAATCTTTCATTAAAAAATCATCTCATCATCAATGCTCGTTTCTTTATTTGTGCACAATGGGAATTACCTACGCTTCTCTGTTCACTGGAAATACATTATGAACAACGACCAATCAACGTTCCTCACCCCACCCTAGTTATCTTCATCCCCGACTAATACAATTGTTTGTTTATATTTTTCAGATCTCTTCATGATGGATTCAATAATGAACATAACTGATCCAGAGATAATGGACACACAGTATCAGCAAATGGCTCCGCAGATGGGCCCACGCCAGACCCTCTTCTACTGTCCAAAGTGCCTGCGAGGCTTCACCCTGAAGAGCAATCGTAATCGTCACTTCAAGTACGAATGCGGCCACGAGCCACGATTCAAGTGCCCTTACTGCGACTTGCGCAGCAAACAAACGTCTCAAATTTACTCTCACGTTAGAAGAAAACATCCTGGTGAGAGGGTTTACTTCGTCGATATCAAGGGATAATCTAGACAAACCATTGCCTGTTTATTGTTTATTAATTACGATGATAATAAAGAAAATGATCAAATGCGACTGTTTCTCGATCAGAGGAGCAATTATAATCATTCATGTTTCTATTGCCTCATGTTATGTGATAAAATAAACCAATTTTCTCACACGTTGAAATCATTCACGAGTATCATTTTTTCCGGCATTGGCTCACTCTTCTCCGCCTCAAAAACATTCTCTGTTGTGGGTATTGAATAATCAAAAGGTATCATTTGCGATTTTCCACGATTAATGATCACTCTCAATATCGAACTAACAAATTGTTGTCTCATATTTGTTTCAGATTACTATCAGCCCGGCCAAATTGTGGAACGAATGGATCAAGCTCTCTGTCTGGATCCAATGTTCAACGAACCCCAAAAACGCATGCTCGGCCGTCGCAGTCTCATCCATCAGAAACGCTTCTTCTGTCCAAAGTGCCTGATGGGATTCACTATGATGAAAAATCTCAAGCGTCATTATCATTACGAGTGCGGCTGTGAACCGCGATACAAGTGCCCCTATTGCGAGTCGAAGAGCAAACAGACGTCCCAAATTTATGCTCATATTAGGAGGAAGCATCCTAATGAGAGAGTTTACTTCATCGATGTTACGCTTTAGTTGAATTGAAGTATTATGGGGATATCTAACGACATTTGAATATTCATAAAATGTTATTAATGTAGACTGGATGAGTCATACGAGAGGGGAAATTTGTTCATGAACTTTTTCTTGTTCTTCAATTATATTGGATCAAGTGAGTTTGATTCAATTAATTGTTAACTTGCCGACCCGAAGGGAAGTTATTTTTAATTTGTTTCATTGGTTACATTCATACAGATGATCCTAATGAAAGAGTTTACCTCACCGATGTTACACTTTAGTTAAATTAAAGTATTATGGGGCTATCTAACGAAATTTGAAGATTCATAAAATGTTATTGATGTAGACTGCATGAGTCATACGAGAGTGGAAATTTCTTCATCAACTTTTTCATGTTCTTCAATTATTTTGGATCAATGAAGTTTGATTTAATTAATTGTTTCTAATTTGTTTCATTGTTTACATTCATGCAGATGATCCTAATGGGAGAGTTTACTTCGTCGATGTTACACTTTAGTTGAATTAAAGTATTATGGGGCTATTTAATGAAATTTGAAGATTGATAAAATGTTATTAATGTAGACTGTATGGGTCATATGAAAGTGGAAATTTGCTCATCAACTTTTTCTTGTTCTTCAATTATTTTGAATTGATAAAGTTTGATTTAATTGTTTGTAATTTGTTTCATTGTTCACATTTATGCAGATTTATGTCCATATGAGGAGGAAGCATCCTAACGAGAGAGTTTACTTCACTGATGTTAGACGTTTGTTGAATTGGCTTGAAGTATTATGGGATTATTTAACGAAATGTGACAGTCGATAGAATGTTATTCATGTACTGGAGTATTCATAGGCTGCAGGAGGGTCGAGCAGAATGGATACTTTACTTATCTCTCAATGTTAACAATTTAGAAACGAACTCGTCGATTGGGTTCAGTCCAGGGTCACCTCAAAGGGAGAGAATTGTACTTTTCAAGGAAAAATTATCCCATTTAATCAATCATTCAATGAGTTATTGAGATTCAAGTAAATATTCCAAATGTCCATTTTGCCCCACTCGCTCCTTACTCAATCATTTTGGATTAATCGACTTTTAGTTAATCAATTGTCTCTAATTTATTTCACTGTTCTCCATGATGCGAATAAAACTGAGTTTATTCTCTTGTCGTTATGCTGTAGTCGAACGATTCAGCTCGAAAGATTTACTATTTAACGATTTATATATAACAATTAATGAAAAAGTTGCGAATATAGACGAATTAAAGTCATACGAAAATGAAAATTTATCCATCAATTTTATTCTTTGCTCTTCAATCACTTCAAATTAATCAATTTTTATTTAATGAATGATTACTAATTCATTTTATTGTTCTAGATGGTGTAAATGACGATTGTAACATCAAAGGTTTGTAATATAAAGTGAAACCCCATTCAGAAATCCAATTAATGTATTTCAATGTTTCAGATGATGCGAATAAGCCTGAGTTTACTTCATCAGTCTAACGAAATTGAGAAAACTTGGAGTCATGAGAAAGTGTGAATTCCTCCATAAAAATTTATTTCTGCTTCTCCAATCAATTTCAATAAATCAACTTGCATTTAGTCGATGAATTTCATTAGATGAAGCAAATGAGACTCACACTAAAGTAAAAACACTGTAATATAAAGTGAAACTCCATTCTTAAAACCAACTAATCATCAAACTGTTCCAGATGACGACAATTCCCCCTCATCCCCAGAAAACCACCGAAATCATCACCAGAATTCTCAAAAAAAAAAAATAATAAAAATCTAGTAGTAACTAAACCGAAGATGCTCGTGGATGTAATAGAAACCATCGTAATAAGGGCCCCTAGAATAGTCCATCGGCATGCTTCTGCTTAAGAAATTTCCATCTCTCTCCGTCCCCTGGAATTCCCTCAATGTAAAAACAAGATCATTCATCCATAAGTCCTAAAATAACACGATTCCTTTCTGTCTGACATCCCCACAGATATGCTGTCCTGTGTTTTGGGGCCATCGAAGCAACGTTCCCTACTACCTCGTCCAGGCTTTCCCGTTCTACCAATGATGAAGGATTTGGCATCAATATGGCTCGCCAAACAGCGCACACAATTTCCATATCGTTGTGAGCAGTGTGGCAAGGGCTATCAGCATCGTGCCACCCTAGTCAGACACACGAGACACGAGTGCGGAAAGGAGCCGCAATTCAAGTGTCCCTATTGCGCTCATCGCACCAAACAACGGGGCAATCTTTATCAACACATAAGGACCAATCATCCCGGGAAAAATGTCTTCTCGAGTAGCATTTAGCTGCAGTTATCGCAGTCTCGAGTGAATAACTGCGCAGAGGATTTCATTTACTGTTAACGATTAATTAGTTGAATGAAAAGAAATACACGGAGAACAAAATTACCGAACAAGTAGCAAAATTCACCTTTTTCTCGCACCTCTTCACAAGCATCTCACAAATTTTACCGTTCGTTCGCTAAAAATTCCCTTAAAAAAGGGGAAATTGTGATGCCATGGTATTTTTTTTCACCGTGTATTTCTCACGATTTGTTATATCTATTAAAAAAATGAATCTCGTTAACAATTGATGAATCCTTCCATTAAATTCTTCCCCTTCAACTTAATTCGAACAAATTATTTTATTGTAAACAATTGAATTAACGATAGTTCGTTACCCACGAGACTTGTTAGATTGATGAATTCAACTCCAGTGGAATAATAAAACGTCTGATGTTTAAGAGATTGTGAAGATGTTCTTTCACCAAATTGGTAGATAACTTTCAGGGGAGTGGAGGATTGCATGCGGCAATTGTGGCATTTACCATGCTAGAGGTGGCGGGGTCGGCGATGACGAGTGTATTTTAAAAAATTCTAGGAGAATAGATTCTAATGGAGTTGTTCCCTTGATTTCAGGTACCTGGTCAGGGCCTCGTCGTATCGTTCATCCGGGCTTTCCTGGATACACACGGGGTCCCACTTATGCACCGAGAACTAGAAGGGCCAATGTCTGTTTAGACAAACGGCCCGGATGTTATTACTGTCCCAACTGTGGAAAGGGATATCGTTGGCTGAGAAATATGAAGAATCATCTCAAAGTCGAGTGTGGCAAGGATCCCAGCGAGTGCTGTCCATACTGTCCACACAAAACAAGATACAAGAGGAGCCTCCAGAAACACATACTGAGAATGCACTCAACATAAACTAGAATTGATAATAATCTGACTAAAATTATTAAAATTAGTTTGTTGTACGGTTTTATGCAAGGTGTTTGCTAATTAAAAAGTCTGATGTTTTGCTCAGGATTAATGTGATATCATTGTTATGTTTCACCTACTGCTAGTGATGACTATTTCACGCTTCTCTCTACTTCTATCCCCAGAATTGCGTCGAGATATCAACATATAGTCTTGATTAATCCTGTTGAATTGTTATTTTTTTTATCAATAATAGTTTTTTCATTGCAGGTTCTAAGTATCCCTGCAAATTTTGTGGACGGATATTCTCTTGGCCATCGAGTCGTCGTCTACATCAGAAAGTTGCGTGTGGAAAACCACCGAATTACTACTGTACACAATGCAATTACAAGTCAAACTTCAAGGGAAATCTCAAGAGACACTTGAAGTCAATGCATAAAATATACATGTGGTGATAACGAGACTAGTTCGAGTTTAATAAAATTATACATTATTCACTGATTTATTACTCGAACCTTTTTCATCATTTGCACAAGATAATGCGTTTATTTCAGAGAAGGAGAGGTACTGGATTTCCGTTTTTTCGTCTGGTTTATTTTTCTGTTATTTAAAAAAACTGTCGGGAGGTTCTGAGTATCCTAGCAAATTTTGGGGGCGGATATTGCCGTCTACATGAGAAAATTGAATTACTGCTGGAGACAGTGTTATTACAAGTCAAATTTCGCAGGAATCTCAAGCGACACTTCAAATCAATGGATAAAATATACATGTGATGATAATAAGATTACGTGGAGATTAATAAAATTGCGCCCTATCCGCTGATTAATTGCGCCCATTTTTTTTATCATTTGCTGAAGACAATTCATTTATTTCAGAGAAATAGACACCCGGGATCAAAGAGAAGAAGAGGTAATGAATTTCCGTTTTTTCTTCTTCATTTTTTTCTGTCATTTGAAGAAACTATCGTGAGGCATGCGCTTCGATGTTAGAGGCTAGCCAATCACGTGCTACATCCTTCGTCCGTGGAAATCCCCCGCCTCTATCTTTCTAACACCCACGGATTATTTTTCAGATCCACCGATGTTTCCCATCGTCAGGCCACGTCTCCACGTCTGCCCGAGATGCGGACAGATGTACTCGTGGGCCTCAAACCTGCGAAAACACCTCAAAATGGGCTGTGGCATGGTGACCTGTGAGACCCACTTCGCCTGCCAATACTGCCCATACAGATCGAGAATCCAAGCCAGCTTTCTCAAACATCTACTCTCAGTCCACAATATCAAGTAAATCAGAATAAATCAAAACCAAAGAGACTCAAATATTGTACTTATTGTATTTTGTATTTACGAGTGGAGACGTTTTCGCGCGAGAAGACACAAGGCTGATTAATTCTGGCCAGTACTGAAGGCTTTAATGTGAATTGTGAAATAACAGAAGACGAATATTATTAGATTTTACATCCTGGATCAGTGTAATATTCTTGTTGTATCTGTGACTAGGGGAGGGTGAAACAAAATGGACACTTCACTTATCTCTCAATGTTTCTAACTCAGAAACAGATTAGGCAATTGAGTTCAGTCTAGATAAAAAATACCCCATTCAATAAACAATTCAATGAATTATTGAGATTAAAAATAATGAACACTGTATTTTTAATGTTAATAATTCATTGATGTACACGTTTTTCTCTTTAAAATGAGAATTTCAAATGACAAGTGTTCATTTGTCTCATTTCCCTCGACTCATCAAACAAAAACAATGTACTTCGCTTCGAACTATCATGTAATGTGTAATGATCTCATCATTAATAAATTTGTGTACATAAAACGAAGGTGTCGGTGCTCCCGTTCCAATAACGTTTAACATTCTCCTCCAATTCAACGTGAGAAAGTTATTCACAATTCCAACTGATTAGCTGATTATTTGTTTCAGTGGATTGGCCAACGTATGGCCCTTGGATGGACGAGTGGAATGAGGCCGATAGTATCGGGGATATGGTGCACTTGCATCCAAAGTGGAGAAACAAATTACTCTGTCCAGGATGTGGAAAGCCCTTTGCCAGTTATGATCATCTCTCCGCGCACAGGAGAAGATACTGCGGTGTAGAACCGAATATTGTCTGTGGATATTGCAATCATCGTTGCAAACGCGTTTGGGACATGAAGGTCCACTTAACTGGGGTCCACGGAATACCCAAAGCTGATATCAATATCGATCGAGATATTATTAAACTAGGAAATGAATGAGTCTGAGGAGAAATCATTATCGCAATTAAATTTTTGTTATGGAATTTCTGGAGTTTATTTATTTTGTCGATGTGGATGGTAGAGGTGTGTGACGAGTTGTTGGAGATTTTTTTGTCAACGTGAACTTTGAGGTTTATGTGTTTGCTAGTTGTTCGTGAGGTCTCAGGACTCGTTTTAATCATTTTTCCCTGTGTTTTTTCTGTTTACAGTACGACTGAGACCGAAATCGCGTGGACGGTATCACAAATTTTATAACGACGCAAGACTGATTAGGGCTATGGAGGCTGTGGCACAGGGAATGTCACTCAGAAGTGCTGAAACTGCCTTCAAGATACCGAGGACAACACTTCAGAGATATATTAAAAGAGGACTGCCTCTAAAATTCTTCAACAATCGACCGTCTTGGTGAATGATTGAGTCATGTAATGGAATCGCTTTAATAAATATTTTTGTCACATCGAGAGCTCTTCATTTTTTCATCACCGATAATGATTGAGATGTCGTGTGAAGAAATTAATAAACTCATTGATGCATGTGTATAGGAGAATTGCGGAGAATTGTGAGGGGATGAATGTTTGATTAATTGGTCTTCAATTTTTCGTGTTTTTCAGAGTCGCGTGTTCGAGGCTTTGTCACTTGCCCGAAGGTCACTTACTCGTGCCAAAATTGCGGGAAGATCTACAATTACTACTCGAGCTTGGCGAGACACCTCAAGCACGAGTGTGGGGTTGCGCCGAAATTCCAGTGTCCACTGTGTCCGTACAGAACAAAACACAAGTCCACTTTGAATACCCATCTCAATGGGAGACACACGTGAATTATCAGGGATTTTTG